TATGGCTAGATCTAGTAGTGTGCATGAGGATGGGTGATCTTATACTTTAGCACTTAAATTCCCAAAGTCTACTTATCCCCGACTCAGACCTTCAAAACTTTGAACTGGGCCTAAAAATGAGCAAACTACTGTAATTTTGTCATGAACAGAGATGGTATAACAGTGGTTTTCGGTCTTCCATCATGATTTTGGAAGCTATTGAGTATAAAATCTAGAATCTAGTCTAGATCTAGATCAGATAGATATCTTGTTTTAAAGTGGTCGCTCGTTACGGAAAAGGGCATAAAATCAATTGAAGAATTTAACGTGCTAAAGTATAAGATCACCTTAGGATGATTCTATAGCTAATACACACATGTAAACACGGTGTGTCGACCAAAGTTCAATCCAGCCAAAACAAATTTTTTATACAAAAAGGGCAGAAAAAACTGGCTAACGGTGGTAGGGTTCACTTAGCCTACATGGCCACATTTTTTTCCTTAGCAATTACTTCTGTTTTTTATATATATATATTTATAAACTAACGGGAAGGCAATTTCCGGCACTACTTGGAAATGATGGTCCCGACTTAAGCCTACTGAAATATTGATTACTGATATAAATAGTCGGTATCAATGTTTTATGTTTTATCAGTAGCCTAGATCTAAATCTAGCTTACAAAATGAGCAGTTAAATTTCACTTGTTTTTCACAAGACAAGGCAGGGGGGGTTGCCCCCTTGACTTAAAAAAAACAAAACATGGGGTGTTTCAGGGGGGGCCTGAATTTGACCACGGTTTGATGTTTTGCAATGAGGTTTGAAAGGCTATCTCTCCAGCACGCGAATCAAAAAGTAATCATTTAGACTTAGAACCAGAAGTAATGGTCGTTGGGGTCAAAACTAGACTAAGTCTAGATCTAGATTTTCTCTTGGTTATATTTCCCTGTCACAAAAGTCGGGACCCCCATATATCCAAGTAGTGCCCAATTTCTAAGCCCCACCAAACAGTTAGATTCTGCAAGTTGCAAAGAAAATAGATCTAATCCGAGTCTGCAGGCTGCCGTCATGCGGTCATGTTGCCAAAATATCTGACAACAAAGTGGGAATCCCTCTATGACATCAAGCAAACAAGATGGCTGTTACTTTTTTATAAATATTGGCCAATGGCGTACATCTGACTTTCTCTAATTATCCGCTTGTGCTGTGAACTTGATCAATATCTTGATCTAGAATCTAGACTAGACTTTAGCCTAATTATTAGGAAGTGGCTATTCTCACCCCGGGTGTGAATCTGTATGCAGGCGTGAAAGTAAAAATACTGTTCTTAGAGTCAATGATGGAATAATCATGATAAAAGATGGTAACGTCAGAACTGTCTTTAATTTGAAGTTGGAGGTTTTTAATTCTAGTAGTGAAGCCTGACTTGAGCTGCACTCTAAAGGCTGAAAATAGTGTCTGGCATATCAGTACTCACTCTGGTCATAGAGGCGCACCTAAGTTCCAGAATAATGTAACAGGTAAAAAGATAAGAGGGAGATTAGGGTTGAAGACATCCTCCGGGGCCGTGCCACTGACTGTAGTGTCTTTAGGCCATTCCCAAAGGGGGGACATTTCTCGTTCATGCACAGTAAAATTGTAAATGGGCTGATTCATCATGTCATGCTCATAACTGTGCCTGATCTACAACAGAGAATTGCTGCTTTTTCTTTCCTAAATCCTTACTAATGTCATTTTCCTCTACTTCTTTTGTATTTTTGTCACACTCTTGTGACCTGCTATTTCCGAGGTGCCTTGATAGCCGAAGCAGACTTTGTGCTGTTGAAGCTAGAGAGGTGAGCAGAGTAAGTCTGATTCCCTGTAAAGACTTCTCTGTTGACACCCTTTACAAAAAAAAAAAAGGGTTGAAGACAACTTCAGGTGAACTGTCGACAAGGCATATACTTTTAAATTCAGAAAGCAGTTGAATTTGGGTGGAAATTTAAGTGAATTTGGTATTTCTTAAAATTATCTATGAGTTCTGTATTTAGTCACTGGCAATAGATGGAAAATAGAGACAAATTTTTCTGTGAAATGACTTTTAAAGAGATTTTAGTACATCATTTAAAAATCATTACTTTATGATTATGTACTCACTCATCTTTTTGCCCTCCTCTTTAGCTTTTTATTTAAGAGAAAAGTAGAGGAGTCTTGATTGCTCTCCAGAAACAGACACTGAAAGTGGTGTGGACCAATTATTCAATTAAGATGATGAACTGGTTTTAATTTCAGTTAATTGAATTGATGCCTTTTAAAAATGTAATATATTCAAGGAAACAGATTTTCCTCTTTCATTGGAAATAAATATGGTATTATTTTGATTCAGATGTGTTTGTTTTTCAAAATGTTGTTTTTTCTTTCAGGGATTTGTAAAATGTCAAACTGACATGAAATCTGAAAAAACCCTCAAGTACAGCTAATTCTGTTCCTCGACTTCAGTGAGAGGGAATATGTCATAATGAAGAAAATTTTGCTCCTCACTGGACACAGATTGAACACATAAAGTTGAAGTGAAATTATCAAAGGAAAGAAAGGACCTGCTCCATAGGGTTGCAGGCTTTGAGCACTTGGTCAAAATGGCTATGATGGACAATGTTGATTTCCTGATCAGTCACATCAGGAACTCTTTCGTGACCAGTGACGACACAAGTATGTCTGAATGGGTGATCACTGAATGCCGAATCCAAGATGAAAGCGATCTCAGGAAAGATGGAAACCATCGGTAAGATTGGAGCTAACTGTCAGTTAATGAAATTGCGCAAACTAAAGTGAACAATATTTAACTCCTTGTCTCAATGTATAATTGTTGTAAAATGAATAATAGCACAACTGATGTACTCTCTTTGAAACGTGACCAAGAAATTCAAAATGCAACCTCTTTTGAGTGCTTTAGATATTCTAACCATCAGCTTTTGGCTTGACAAAGTCTTCCCGATACTCACAAGAGTGAATGTGAAGGGGACTAGGTTCTGAGAAACAATGAGAAAATAGCCCTGTACCCGGTACCTTTTATGAGTCGAGTAAAGGGTAATGTTTATCCCAAGCATTTTAATTTCATGGTTTAGACTTAACACACCTTTGAAAAATTCTAAGTTATTTATTATTTAGGAGCCAGAACCTCCAGACTTTAATGTATGTGTTCACTATGGCAGAGCCAGGTGAGTGCAAAGCCATGGACGTTCCCGAAGCAAGTTCAAGAACATACCCTCCCCAATAATTAATTAGGAACTCAAAATAGGGTCATCGACACTGAACTCCAAAGTGGTATCAACTAATTCAATGATGTACTTTACGTTTATTGCAGGAGTACAAATATTAAGTGGAGGTAGCTCTCCTTGTCTGAGAACTGGACTTCTGGTGCTGTCCACTCATTGTTTTCATCTATAGATATTTGCTGTTCTCATCAGATTTGCAGTTTGTTTGTTGTGTTGATTGTCTTTAAAGCTATGTATATTTAGTTCCATAGATTTATATTTTAATTTTTGTTCAATTGCTTTTGATGTTCAACAATAGTTTTATGTATTTTATGTAAATTGTACTCCAAAAATCATTACCATTGAGTACTAATGAAACTAGAGAAAGAAAATTATGATTGCGTCATTTTGATAAGCTCATTTCATAATGGTATTTTCTGTTCCTAGGTACAATCGAAACAACCACAGCAGCCGCAGTGACAGCAACAGTGATTGCCCATCAGACACCGAGCTGAAAGGATCTATGGATATTCATCCAGATATGGATTTTGGTTCGTATACGTGTAGAAAATTAATTCTTACTCTTTTAACGGTTTACAGTTTAACATACTTATAACAAATTGACAGTTTGATTTCAAGAGGGACCAATAGCATTTGCTAAAAATTTCAGCAAACTTGGATTTATAAATATATTTCAGAAGTTTGTGTGTTTCACTCAAAGACCACTAATCTCCAGTGCTCATGTGACTTATTTGTGCTGCAAGTGCTGCGAAACACTTAGTAAAACTAAAACTTCTATTTTACTATATTGACTTTGCCTTGATGATGTGCACATCATTTAATATCTCTCTCCTTTTCCTCTCCCCCCCAGCTGTGACATGACTTTTATTCCTTGTATTTTTTTTTTCTTGTCTTAATTCTGTTGAAACTCAAACTGAACTCTATAATCACAGGCGCTCACAGACGAAGGTCCAACACAGCCCAGAGGCTGGAGAGACTGAAGAAAGAAAAAAGAACTCAAAGTAAGATAAAGACCATCGCCTGGAAGGATGGCTCGGAGCAATACAAAGGTGAGATATCTTTGTTGTCGTCTTGTTATATAAGAATAATAATTATTATTAATTATGAGAATTGCATTTTTATCGCACATATCCACCCTCTCCAGCTTGCTCTCTACACTTTACAAACACTATGTTGCCACTTGGAACTCTTGCGGTACAGTCAAACTGAGTTAAAAGAGAAGAGACTAAAACTGCTCTCTTTATAATAAGATTCAGCTTAAATCATTCAACCAAGTGTCAATAAAGTAAGTACTACTAGATCAATAAATGGTGTCTTCAGATTATATTTCAGTTGGTAAGCCTACAGTTACAATACCAATAGCCCAGGTTTGAGTCTATTTCTGAATTTATGTTGTTTGAAGAGCTTTAGGGTTCACCTTACCAGTTCAGGGTGATGATAATTTGGAGGATTGGGTAGTGTTCTGTCTTGAGAAGAGTGAAAGAATCAAACTCAGACTCTCATGTCTTGTGGAAAAATATTTTGCAGATATGTCGCTTGTAAGTTCAGCTTTAAAGGGAGAAAAAATCCACTTGTTTCGGTTCTCTATTTGTTGGAAGTTTTTCAGGGTTTTTTTCTCTCTTTTCTAAATTGGTCATGTTGAGGATATTTTATTCATATATTTTGATTCAGGCCACACACAGTTTTTGGGGTCCAGTTTAAACAATGTTGTTGGTTTTTTTGGGGGGGTGGGGGTTGAGAAACTTCCCTTGAAAATTATGTGCTAAATCGAATCGAAGTTCTCCCAGTGCTCTATTTCAAACAGATAGCTTCATAAAGTTTGTTACATTGTGAGCCAATACAATGCTCCTTTCCTCAAAATGTTAATTTCTTGGCCTTGTAAGCTAAAAGCTCCAAAACCATTCAAGGTAAAGACATGAAATTTGGAGGATAACTGCACCGTACAATTCCAAATAAAGTGATGTTAGCTTGCCATTTTTCTAATTTTTGAAAAAACACATTTTGAATTATTTTTTTACTTTGCTATTTTGACTAGTTTTGTCATTCGTTAATATCAAGTCTTCTAAAAGTAATAACATTATTAATATTGACAATTTCAAGAAAAGCTAGCTTCATTTTTTTAAGGTTTGTGTGCAGATTACAAATATGTAATTAGTTCATAGATGTTGCATCAATTGTTTTTAAGTTTTTTGGTTTATGAAAATGGTCCTTCAGATTGCTGGGTATCACTCTAATGTGCCATTTTAATCCATGAATGGAATACTTTAAGAAAATGAGAAAAAACAAGTGAAAATAACTTCATTGTAGATTTTGTTGATAATATGTTTAT